ATTGCTGGCGATTTGGCCATCCAGCGAAATATTGCAGACCCATAGCCGAATGCCCAGTCTGTGGTGCCGATGACCATTCTAATATGTCTTGCAATCGACCTCCTTCTTGCCTTAATTGTCATGAGGCTCGCCCTTCGTACTCTCGCCGTTGCCAAGTCTACTTAAATGAGCGGGAAATCCATTACCTCAAAGAAGCAGAAGGTCTCCCTTATGCCATGGCAGTTTCTCATCTCTGCCTCCAAGGGAGACTACCTCGTGTTTCTTATTCCCGTGTTTCAAAACGTCCCCCCACTTCTGGGGTCCCATCTTCTGCAGCCTCCTCTGTGGTTACCTCTCCCATAGCCACTCCTGTATCTAATTCTTTTGCTGCCCTAGGCTCAGACGTCCCTACTTCAACGCCTCAGTCTGTTCTCGCTTCTTCGTGTTCTCCCTCACAAGCCTCAGTATTGACGAGACCTCATACGACACCTCCTCCCAATCGTCCCTCTACTTCTCAGAAGTCAAAAAAAGGTCCTTTAACCCCTCCTTCCCTTCTTCCACCTCCTCATTTTACCTTCCCTGTCTCTGTACCGGGTTCTTCCCCTCTCACTGGCTCTGTAACAAGTGTAGAGGTTCACCCTCCTCCTCGTACTATATCTACCTCCCCTGTTCCCTCCCAAGTTTCTTCCTCTTCTGCCACCTCCAGGTTTTTTTGCCTCTTCTGTCCCCTTCCATGCTTCTTCTCCAGTTCCCTCCACCCTTTTGCCCCCCCCTACCTTGGTACAGTCCATTCCAGTTCCAATCTTTACTCATCCTCCCCCTACCATTTCCAATATTGTCTCCCATACGACGTCTCTGAATTCCAAAACACTTGAAGCAATCTCTGAATATATTGCAGAGACCAAACCATCAATGGACACTGATCCACCCTCTGTTCCTTCTCTCTCCTCTCCTCCATCTGCGCAACTCCTTTCTTCACAGCGCACCGTTCCTTCGCTGCTTGAATGTTTTCCGCTCCCTCCGCATGTGGACTTTTCTAACCCCTCTAGTCCGTAGGAACCCTTACCTGCGGATTTCAAGTATCTTTATCATTGCCAATCATGGCCTATTTACAGTGGAATATACGCGGCCTCGGGTAATCAGGATGAGCTTCAGATGTTATTCTCCCAGTTTTCCCCTGTTGGTGTTTGCTTACAGGAACCAAAATTACACACTGCTGTTATCTCTCCCATCTCAGGCTATAATTTATTGTATTCTTCAGATCCTTTTCCTGATGGGACCTTTAATGAAAGTGCCCTTCTTCTACGCACTGATATTCTGTACCATCAGCTATTTGTTCGTACTTCGCTGCATTACACAGCAGCCTGTATCCACTTGCATAGGTGGTATACGCTATGTTCTTTATATCTCTCTCCTTCTCGGGCATTATCTATTCCGGATATTGCCTTTCTTGTTTCGTCATTACCACCACCGATTCTGTTACTTGGCGATTTTAATGCCCATCATTTCCTCTGGGGGGGTCTCACTGTGATTCCCGTGGCATTCAGTTAGAGGCTTTTCTTGCCACCCACCCCCTCCATGTTTTAAACACAGGTACTCACACCCATTTTGATCCTCGGACTCACTCTCTCTCTTGCATCGATCTCTCAGTCTGCTCTTCCTCCGCCGCATTAGACTTCACCTGGTCTGTTCTCCTGGATTTACATGACAGCGATCATTTCCCAATCATTCTTACTTCCCCTTCATATTCACCACCTCTTCGTATCCCACGCTGGCAATTTGATCAGGCAAATTGGAACCTTTACTCACAACTAACTGTTTTTAGTGAGGTTCCTTCTTCGTCCTCCATTGATGAGCTTTTACACCTCTTCTCGTCCTCCGTTTTAACTGCAGCTTCTCATTCTATACCCCAAACTTCGGGCAGGCATTCTCAGAAATGTGTGCCTTGGTGGTCTCCTGCCTGTGCTCGTGCAGTACGTTTGAAACGCGCTGCATGGGGCAGGTACCGGTACAATAGAACCACGGAGAGACTTCTTTATTTTAAACAGAAGCGTGCGATCGCTCGCCATATCATCCGCGACGCTAAACGCACTTGCTGGCGAGATTGTCTCCACCATCACCTCTGCTTCCTCTATGAGTGCAGTCTGGAAAAAAGTTACGAAACTGAGTGGTAAATATTTCCTGACCTGGCTCCTGTTCTGCGGGTTGCCGGTGTTGATATAGCAAACCCACTAGATGTTGCCAATGAAATTGGCAATCATCTGGTCCGTATTTCTCAGGGGCTCCATCTATGCCCCTCGTTTCTTTCCTCATAGTCTGCCAGAGAGTTAGCACCCCCTTGGACTTTTCTTCTCTCAGAGAAGAAAGTATAATGTGCCTTTTACACTTCAAGAACTGGAGGAAAAATCTCAGCTTGGCCCATCATCGCAGCTGGCCCCACAACATTCTATTCGTATGCACAACATTTACATCAGTCAGCCCTTGCAGTCCCATTATGCCTTTTCAATCTTATTTGGTCACAAGGAGTTCTTCCACAGCTGTGGAAATCTGCCATTGTTCTCCCTTTCCGCAAACCAGGCACTACGAGACATGAAGCCTCCCACTATAGTCCCATTGCTCTTACCAGTGCAGTTTGCAAAGTGATAGAATGCCTGGTAAATAGACGTTTAGTGTGGTATTTAGAGACACACAACAGTCTCTCCACTCGTCAATATGGCTTTCGTAAGGGACGTTCTACCATAGACCCCTTACTACGCTTGGATACGTATGTTCGTAATGCCTTTGCGAATAACCACTCAGTTATTGCCATATTTTTTGACCTTGAGAAGACATATGACACAACTTGGAGGTATAATATTTTGGCCCAAGCCCACTCCTTAGGCCTCCGAGGCAATCTACCATCCTTCCTTAAGAACTTTTTAACTGATAGACAATTCCGCATTCGGGTTAATAATGTGCTCTCTCCGGACTTTATCCAAGCTGAAGGTGTCCACCAGGGATGTGTTCTGAGCACAACACTTTTTCTCCTTGCTATTAATGATTTGGCCTCTAGTCTTCCATCAAATAATTGGTCATCACTCTATGTTGATGACTTCGCTATTGCCTGTGCAGGCGCTGACTGTCAACTCATTACAGTTTCTCTCCAGCATGCGGTCGACCATGTTTCCAATTGGGCCACCACACATGGGTTTAAATTTTCCAGCACTAAAACCCACCAAATTACTTTCACTAGACGCTCTGTCATCTCCGATCATCCTTTGTACCTCTATGGCTCCCATATCCCTGAACGTGATACAGTCAAGTTTCTGGGCCTCCTCTTTGACAGTAGGTTATCCTGGAAACCTCACATTACCTCTCTGAAGGCAACTTGTCACAGCCGGCTGAACCTTCTTAAAACCCTTGCTCATCTTTCATGGGGAGCTGATCGTCGAACCCTCCTTCGCCTACATTCCACCCTCATTTTATCGAAACTTGATTATAATGACCAGATCTATTCAGCGGCATCTCCTGCTACGCTCTCTAGCCTAAACCCCATTCATCACCAAGGATTACGTTTATGCCTCGGTGCTTTTCGCTCTTCCCCTGTTGAGAGCCTCTATGCAGAAGCGAATGTTCCATCCTTATCCGATCGCCGTGATGCCCATTGCCTTCGCTACTATGTACGCTCTCATGATCTCCGCAATCCTTCCATTTATAGAATGGTCACTGATATTAGTAGACATTCTTTATTTGTTCGCCGCCCCTGTTTACTCCGTCCCTTCTCTCTTCGCCTTCATTCGCTCTTGTCTTCTCTTCAATTACCACCTTTCTATGTTCATGTTGCATCTCACTTTTCCCTACCCCCCTGGGAAGTTCCAGCTGTTCGAGTCTGTTCTTTCTCTCTCCCTTGCTCGAAAGCCCAACTGTCTACGGTCACTTCCCACTCTCTTTTTCTTGACCACTTCCACTCTCATTCTCATGCCATTGCTGTGTACACAGGTGGCTCTAAGTCTTCTGACGGCGTAGGATTCGCAGCAGTGTTTCCGGACAGCGTCGTACGAGGGCATGTACTATCTTCAGCTAGTATTTTTACTGCTGAATTGTATGCCATTCTTGCAGTACTTATCTGTATTACATCTATGCCTTTGTCATCATTTGTGGTTGTCTCAGACTCCCTTAGTGCTTTACAGGCTATACAGAAATTTGATACACCTCACCCCTTAGTCCTCCGTATCCAACTTTGGCTACGCCGCAACTTTACCAAGCATAAAGATATTGTTTTTTGTTGGGTCCCTTGCCATGTTGACATACAGGGCAATGAACAGGCAGATACTGCTGCGCGGTCAGCAGTACATGACCTACCAGTTTCATATAGAGGTATTCCATTTACGGACTATTTTGCTGCAATATCTTTCCACCTTCACACCCGTTAGCAACAACGTTGGTCTACTATGCTCGGTAACAAACTTCAATCCATTAAACCGAGTATAGGTTACTGGCCGCCTTCTTATCACCAGTGTCGAGGTTGGGAGACTACTCTCTCCCGTCTTCACATTGGCCATACTCGTCTTACTCATGGATATCTCATGGAGAGGCGCCCTGCTCCTCTCTGTGAGAATTGCCAGGCTCCATTTTCAGTCAGCCACATTCTGTTGGACTGCCCACTTTATCAACGAGCACGCAGACTTTACCTCCATCGTCGTCTTCGCTCTGGTGCTCTCTCTTTACCTTCCCTTCTTGCTGATGGACCCACCTTTCATCCGGACTCTCTCATTGACTTTTTGACAACTGACTGACTTCACAAATTCTGATACCTTCAGCCCTTTCTACCTCAATCTCTTGCTAGCCTCTACCCCCGTACTATCCCCTGCCCCGCTGTTTTCTGTAACCTACTGATCATCCCTCCTCCCTTCTGCTGCCCAACACCCTCGCTTCCTTTCCTACCCTGCAGCGCTGTATAACCCTTGTGGCTTAGCGCTTCTGTTTTATTATAATAATAATAATATTGTTTATTTCAAAAAATTTTATTTTTTTCTGTTCAGGTGACTTATCCAATGAATAAACTAACACAGAATAATGAGAGAATGCAGCAGCCTCAAGAAGAATTAAAGGCACATGCTACTTCTCTGACTATCAAAGGCCCACATGAAGCTAACATTAATGACTTTGTGTCAGGTTACAGTAATGAATTTAGAGCCATGGTGAAGGATTTTGGCTTGGTGAATTTAGATCCAAGACATATAACACCACGAGACAGTAATTCAGAGGCCAGAATGAACAACAGCAGTCAAATATGTGGCAGTGGAAATGTCATCACATACAACCAAAACCCTAGAGGGGCAAGAATTGATATGTCAAATATTACAGGTGCTAATTCAGTTCAGCTAATTGCCAGAGGGTGTGAGGCAGCAAGCCACATAAGGAATAATGTAGAGACCAGTGAGGTATCCCAGGACAAGAACATAATCCTTCACTATGGCAGAAGAGACAGGTATGGGTCAGGATTTACCACCACAAGTTATAAAAAGCGAAAGCGGAGGAAACCATGGAAGGGTAGCAAACGTCCACTTTTATGCCATATTCCTAATTGATACTTTGCTTTGTACGATAATATATTGTACATATACGTAAATGGAAAAAAGTGTAACTAAGTAAGCAGAAGGAAATGTGTAAAATGTAGTAATGGCCATGCAAACAGGATGCCAAGCGGATAAATATGAAATATATTATCCAACAAAATTGATATGTCAAGGGTAAGGAAGGTTAAATTATCCAAATACACTGATTTTTTTTTTTTATTTATTGTATATACCTAATTTTGGTATTTTTGTTTATGACCAGTTTTTATTTTTGTTAACATTCTCTCACACAAAATGAGGACTTATTCTAATACAGAAGAGTGCACACAGGACAAACTAAAGTTAATATACAATTCAATATTTCCTACTAAACTGCAGCGTGGCATTGTAATGTTCTTCGGATGTGCATCTCATATCCTTCCCATACACTTCCACCTTGTTTTCAGCAGCATCATACCTTTTTGTCATTTATCTACACTTAGTCTGTCATCACTTATTGAATAAATAGGCTCAAATCATTTTGTCATTCTTTAATTTACTTTCAACTTTTTTTCTATATTTGCAGTAGTCAGAGCCTGGAATTCATGTACTTTATAATCTGTGTTATTTCTTTATACATTTTTACTGATCAGTTTTTTTGGTGCCCATTGTCTTTTGGCTTGGTATGCAACTCCTAAATTATAAGCCAGTCCTATGATTACATTCATAATGGACTCATTCTTTCTCATGATTGTTAGTATTTAGCAGAATAGGCCAATATTTAAAGAAATAAAACCAAAATTTAAATTATTTGCAAAAAAAGAAATTTTGTATTCTCAATTTTAGAGTTCTTGTTAACTCCAAAAACTTAACTTATGAATTATGGGCTGCACTGTACTGGTCTCACATTGTTATTCCTCTTGTAAGTTCTTCGTTCCAAAGCAGCTCCTAAAATCTAGGATACTTGGCCCCTGCCTGTTAATCTGGTACTGCTCATATTTTACTTTATACGTAACAGGGCTGAGCTCTGCCTTTCAATTAATTTATACTATACTCTACCCAGAAGGTCGCCAACTTTCCCATTAGTACACTCTTTAAGGATCTTGCAACATGTCTCAAAATTGGGCATTATTGCTTCCATATTCACTGATATTACTTCTTGGTTAATTTGTGTTATCTTAATTAATTAATGAAGTAATTACTAGTACAGTGGACCCTCCCTTTTCATGATTAATCCGTTCCAGACCGTCTGACGAAATGTGAAATTCACGAAAACTGAAACCATTTTCCCCATAAGAAATACAGTGGAACCTCAAAAATCGAACTGCTCCCAACACGACCAATTATGTAAGTGTATTTTTGTAAGTGCTTTTATAAGTGTATTTTTGAGGGTCTGAAATGGACTAATCTAATTTACATTATTCCTGATGGGAATAAATTCATTCGGTAAAGGCACTCGAACAGCCTTCTGGACCAAAGAAAGTTCGATATTTGAGGTTCCACTGTAATGTAAATCCAATTAATCTGTATCAGACACCCAAAAGTATAAACAAAAAATACATTTTATAGAGAATAACTATATTTCACGGCTTATTTATCTATCATAATTCATCTAATGTGACATAAACAATATTAATAATATAGAAACATGATATATACTCTAGAATGAATAAAATGTATCATTATGTATGTGAGGAGTAAGTGGTGGTAGTGGTGTTGGGTTTATAAGGGCCACTGAGAGCATAAGCCGTACATATTAGTGGCAGTGGAGGCAGCAGCAGAAGCCACCAACACTATTCATGCAAACAATGTACGTAATTTATAAATAAGAAATATTTACACTTACTGCACCTTGGAGATGCTGGCATTGGTTTAGGATGGTGGAAGATAGGCAGGGTGGCGTATGTTTGTCAGTGGGCCTACATATATACCTCCAATAACATTGAAGGAGTTAGTTTCGTTTTATCCTTTTTCTGTCGCTTAATCACTTAACTTACTTGCTACACTTTATCGCTGGCTGGGGCTATAGCGTTTATTGACTCCTGCTGCTTTAGTATTGTACATATCGTAGAATCACTGAAGAAGGCACATTCTCCCCTCTCTTCCTCCTCAACTTTGGTACTTTGCTATAAGTTTTTTTCTTGAATTTTATAGTGTTTCTCACCTTCTTAATCAACAGGCTGGCACTAGCAGCTTTCTTTGGGCCCATGGTGGCTTATTTAGCAGTCACAGATTAAACAAGTGCAAAAAACAATGAATTATTACGAAATGTTTCCTATGACCTCACAGGATAACGTTCACTCACCGAGAAACAAAGCGACACTGCCTCACAATGCGTGTGTGGAAGGCTTTGCATGCGTGCGGCACTCGGACAAGTACTGTACCACCGACAAGACTGGAGGAAAATAATGAAAACTGAGCCAACATTTTTACGAAAAAAGTCGGTGATAACTGAAATTCTTGAAAACAGAGCCCAACGAAAAGGGAGGGGCCACTGTACTGTAATACCTTATTATATGTACTGTATGTAATAGCCATACCTTGTATTCTTTATCTATCCACTCATAATTTTTCTGTCACTGTACACACAAAATTAAGTTACATATATTTATGTAATGCATTGCAAGTTAATTTTTCAAGTGTGTAATGATTGAATTATTGTATATTGTACTGTATTGGTATTTTGGGAAATTCATAAAGCAGTTATACTTGTATGGGTCATACAGCTCATAAATGCAACAATAAATTATTTAATGATATATTCTAATACAGCATTTTGACAGTTTCATTTCAGTGATTAAACTTTATCATAGCAGCAGTGAAAACTTTAATTTTTATATTCTGCATTCCTTTGATTTAAATAAAAAGTGATTTTAGAAAATGGAAGAGGTATATATTTATACAGAAAAGTATTATATGTGCACCAAGAAGCACTCAATACTTATGGATTCTTTAGCAGTGATAAGCAAATGAATAGTCTAATCCTAATGATTTGTAACCATTTACAAAAATTGTTCAGGCACTTCATCGTTATACTGTATGTTCATGTATGGCAATGTGTCATACATTTTAGTAGAACTTTGCAGAGTTGGCTTATGAATACATTCGTCAAACAAAATTCTTGATCATTATTATATAGATCTGTGTTCTCTTGCTGGAAAATTTTGTGATTCTTACATAGTGCTGTTATGTATTGGTTAACTATAAAACCTCTGATGAAATTTTGGTATAAATCTTTTTTTTTCTGATCATGTGCTGAAATATCCCAGTGAATCCTTGATATACTGGACTAATAGGAAATGTTTGTGGCTGGTGATGGGAATCATGGTTGATAGGGAAGAGATTGTTTTGTTCTGATATCAACAATAACCAATTGATTTGGTTATTGCTACCAAATTGATTGACTTAGCTGATTTTGTTTTGTATTTTGGCAGTCAGTTATTTCAAGGGTTTATTATATATTTCAGTAGTTACATGCATTACTTGTTACTGTCATTTGTTGTTTCATTATATATTCTTAATGTGCCCAACCCATATGCATTATAAAGCCCTGCAAGTCTGAGGGGTAAGCTATAAGAAAAGTAGCATGAAGGGTGAACTTTAAAGCTAACAGTGAGTGTTAAAGTTGATGTAACAAATCAGCTTGTCAGAATGTTGTGTGTGTATTTTTGTTGAAGGATGCCTTTCTAAAAAAAAAAAGCACGGAAAGTGGGGGCACCAAAGCATTGAAAGAGATCAGAAATGAGTTTTATGTGCTCTGATAAATGGTGCAAGCAATCAAATGGTGTTTGGACAATCAACATGATTTGATACGCTCCTTTTCATGTGATAAGTGTGTGCGTGTATTGTGGCCATTTCACAATAATGCGCCTCTTCAAGGGGGGCTCCTTGGCGTGGTGAAGAGGCTCTTGGTCTGAGGAATTAGACCTGTCGGTCTTCTTCCTCAGACCGAACCTAATTACCCCCCAATCTCCCCTCCCCTATCCCATCCTCCCCTTTTTCCTTTCCTCGTCCTCCTCCTCCCCACCCCTCCCTTTTGCCCTTCCTCTTTTTGGCCTTTGGGATTTCTCCCACAGGCGCACTAGTTCCTAGGTAGGGGAAAGGATACCGGGGTCCATCCCATTCTGTTGAGGTTCTTGGCGGTGGCGTAGTTTGCCGTGGAATCTGGATCGCCTGGGGATGTCCCGATCCCTCTCCGGTACCCCGGAGTAGCTTTGGGTGTCTTTCGGGCAACGGGTGTATCTCTGGAAGCCACCTTTTGTATTCCGGGGGTGGTGGCCAAAGGAGGTATGCTTTGTGGCGGATATCCGGCCGCCCTCTCTTTTGTCCACCGAGGTAGCTCGGCAGATGTGATGTTGCTATCCCGGATTGCTGGTTTACTGGCATGAAGGGTAGGGTATGGCACGGGTTCCATGCTGCATCTGCGCTACTAGCGGTGCTGAGGTCCTCTTGGGCGCGGAGGGAGATTTCTGGCCCTTTCATTCCTCCTGGGAACTATTCCTCCCCGCTCCCCCCTTTTTTTATTTTTATTTTCTTTTCTTCTTTTTTTTTTCTTAAAAACAAAAAGCAAAGGAGTAACCTAACCATGGAGAACCCAATCCATGAACCCACTACCCCCGGGCCCCTTCTTGATACCACACCCCATTCTGACCCTGCCTTGTTTTTAGACCACTCTTCGGACACTCCTGATGCCCCTATACCTCTTGCTGGTGCTGTTTCCTCACCCGCTTCAGGTACCGGGGCTTCGACTGACTCCTTCGATTTGTCTGAACTCCGCTCTCCTTTGACTATGCTTCCGGCTTCTCCCTCTCGGGTACGGCAATTTTCGAATCGCCCGCCCATTTCACACCGGACCAACTCCGGTCCTACTCCTAAACGCCAATGTCAATCTCCTGATGATGCTCCTTCGTTACCTTCCCATTCTACTCGGAAAAGACCGACACGTCATGCACTCCCTCTCCACGCTCAGTTTCGGACCACACAATGGACTAAATTCTTTACTTTAAGACCGACTTCTTCTTCTGCCTACCTTTCTGACCATAGTATTGGCAAAGCGCTCCTGCGTCATGTTGGTAGAGATATTTCATTTCATGCTCTCAAGAGCGGTACGCGAATCGTCACTGTCCAGAATGCTACCCAAGCTCATGATCTTTCTCTCCTTTTGCATATAGATACTACTCCTATCATTATTGAAAAACATCTTTCTCTCAATTCTTGTAGTGGTACTGTCATTCTGCAGCATACCATAGTCCAACAGAATTTCCAGTCATGTGGCAATGACATTCTTGAACAGCTGGAACTCCAGGATCTCCCAATCCTCAAAGTAGACACTTATGTCCTTCCTGCCCGTGGGCGGAGACGTTGCCCTTGCAATGTAGCTCGTTTAACTTTTGACAGCCAAGAACCCCCGTCCTCTGTATATGTCGCGGGACATCGGTTACAAGTTCGAAAGGTGATACCTACACCGCAACAGTGTAGAAATTGCTTGCGTTTTGGTCACCCAGCGAAATATTGCAGATCTATGGCCGAATGCCCAGTCTGTGGTGCCGACGACCATTCTAATACATCTTGCAGTCAACCTCCATCTTGCCTTAATTGTAATGAAGCTCACCCTTCGTACTCCCGCCGTTGCCAGGTCTACTTAAATGAACGTGAAATCTGTTGCCTCAAAGAGGCAGAAGGTCTCCCTTATGCTATGGCAGTTACTCCTCTTCAAGGGGGGCTCCTTGGCGTGGTGAAGAGGCTCTTGGTCTGAGGAATTAGCCCTGTCGGTCTTCTTCCTCAGACCGAACCTAATTACCCCCCATTCTCCCCTCCCCTATCCCATCCTCCCCTTTTTCCATTCCTCCTCCTCCTCCTCACCCCTCCCTTTTGCCCTTCCTCTTTTTAGCCTTCGTGATTTCTCCCACAGGCGCGCTAGTTCCTAGGTAGGGGAAAGGACACCGGGGTCCATCCCATTCCGTTGAGGTTTCTTGGGGGGCGTAGTTTGCCGTGGAATTTGGGTTTTCGGGGGGTTTCCCCGGGCCCCTCCCCCGGTGTCCCGGAGTGGTTTGGGGGTGTCTTTGGGCGAGGGTGTATTTTGGGGAACCCACCTTTCGGACCCCCGGGGGTGGTGGCGAAGGAGGTGTGCTTTTGGGGATACCCGGGGCCCCCCTCCTTTTGTCCCCCGAGGTGGCTCGGGGGATGTGAGGTTGTTTCCCCCGGGATTGCGGTTTGCGGATAAAAGGGTGGGGTATGGCCGGGTTCCGCTGCATCCGCTCTAGCGTGTGAGTCCTCTTGGGGCGGGGGAGATTTCTGGCCCTTTTCTTCCTCCGGGGAACTATCCCTCCCCGGCCCCCCCTTTTTTTTTCTTTTTTTTTTTTTTTTATTTTTTTTTCTTCTTTCTTTTTTTTCTAAAAACAAAAAGAGAGAATAACCTAACCATGGCAGCCCTATCCATAACCTGGACCCCGGGGCCCCTTTTTTATACCGCCCCCCCCTTTTCTGACCCCCCTCGTCTTTGACCCCTTCAACATTCCTCTGCCTCTGTAACCATTCGGGTGTTTTAAAACCCGCCCCCGGGCGGGGCCCGGGACTACCCTCGATTTTAAAACCCGCTCCCTCGGCCCTTTTTCCGGCCCCCCCCTCTACGTCGAAATTTTTAAATCGGACCCTTTTCCACCACCCTCGTTCCCCCCCCCAAAGTCAACACTTTCCTCAATTACTTTCCACCTTCATTTCTGTTTTTTGAAAGTGAAAAAACCCCTTCACACCCCCCCCTCTTTCCCTGCCCAAAAATCTTCCTTTTTACACCAATTTCCCCCTCTATCCTTCTTTCTGACCATAGTATTGGCAGGCACTCCTGCGCCTGTGGTGGGAAATTTTCTTTTCATGCTTAAGAGGGGTGCGCGCTCATTACCGTACAAGGCTACCCGGGCTCTAGCCCCTTCTCTTTCCCATATGATACGTTCCCGCACCCTTAAAAAACATTTTCCCTCAATTCTTGTAGTGGTCCCGTTATTCTGCCCCAAACCATGGTTCAACAAAATTTTCCAGCGGGCACCGACTTTCAGAACAGCGGGAACTCCAAGATCTCCCAAATCCTCGGTAGCCCTTTCGTTTTTCCCCCTGCCCGTGGGGGGAGACGTACCCGGCAATGTGGCTCTTTTATTTTTTGACGCCGAAATCCCACCTCCGTTTATATAGCGGACAGGGTTACAATTCAAAAGGGTTTCCCCTGCCCCCGCAAAGTTGGAGGTGCGGCGATTTGGCCACCCACAAATATTGCGATCTATCGCCGAATCCCGGGTCTTGGTCCCGATGAGTTCAATTTCCTTGCAATCGATCTCCCTCTTGTTTAAACTGTCATGGGGTCACCCTTCTACTCTGCCGTTGCAGGTCTTTTTGAACGAGGGGGAAAATCCTTTCCCTCAAAGAGACAAAAGGTTCCCTTTATGCCTGGCAGTTTTTCATCTCCGCCTCCAAGGGAGACTCCCACGTGTTTCTTATTTCCCCTGTTTCAAAAGCCCCCCACTTTGTATCCCATCTTCTGCACCCACCCTTGTGGTTACCCCTTTTTCCCCCCAATCACTCCTGTACGATCCTTTTCCCCGCCTCCTCAGACTCCCCACTCAACGCCTCCCAACTCGCTTCTTCGAGTTCTCCTTTCGACCTCATATCGACGAGACCTCTACACACCTCTTCCCCAAAGTCCCTCTACTTCTAAAAGTTAAAAAAGGTCCGGGAACCCTCCTACCCACTTCCACCCCCCCATTTTACCCTCCCGTCTTGTCCCTTTCTTCCCCCTCTCATGGCTCATTACAAGTGCAGAGTTCACCCCCTCCTCGTAATTACCTTCCCCCCCTGTTTCCCTCCCAAGTTTCTTCCTCTTTTTTGCCCCCCCCAGGTTTTTTGCTCTTCTCCCCTCACGTTTCTCCCGTTCCCCCCCCCTTTCGCCCCCCCCCCTCCTTTGGGACAGCCCCAAAACAGTTCCAAACTTTACTCTCCTCCCCCTACCATTCCCAATATTGTCTCCCATACGACATCTCTGAATTCCGAAACACTTGAAGCAATCTCTGAATATATTGCAGAGACCAAACCATCAATGGACACTGATCCACCTTCCGATCGTAGGTTATCCTGGAAACCTCACATTACCTCTCTCAAGGCAACTTGTCACAGCCGGCTGAACCTTCTTAAAACCCTTGCTCATCTTTCGTGGGGAGCTGATCGTCGAACCCTCCTTCGCCTACATTCCACCCTCATTTTATCGAAACTTGATTATAATGACCAGATCTATTCAGCGGCATCTCCTGCTACTCTCTCTAGCCTTAACCCCATTCATCACCAAGGATTACGTTTATGCCTTGGTGCTTTTCGCTCTTCCCCTGTCGAAAGCCTCTATGCAGAAGCGAACGTTCCATCCTTATCCGATCGCCGTGATGCCCATTGCCTGCGCTACTATGTACGCTCTCATGATCTCCGCAATCCTTCCATTTATAGAATGGTCACTGATATTAGTAGACATTCTTTATTTGTTCGCCGCCCCTGCTTACTCCGTCCCTTCTCTCTTCGCCTCCATTCGCTCTTGTCTTCTCTTCAACTACCACCTTTCTATGTACATGTAGCATCTCACTTTTCCCTACCCCCCTGGGAAGTTCCAGCTGTTCGAGTCTGTTTCTTTCTCCCTCCCTTGCTCGAAAGCCCAACTGTCTACGGTCGCTTCCCGCTCTTTTTTTCCCTTGACCACTTCCACTCTCATTCTCATGCCTTGCTGTGTACACAGATGGCTCTAATTTCTTCTGACGGCGTAGGATTCGCAGCAGTGTTTCCGGACAGCGTCGTACAAGGGCATTTACTATCTTCAGCTAGTATTTTTACTGCTGAATTATATGCCATCCTTACAGCACTTATCCGTATTGCATCTATGCCTGTGTCATCATTTGTGGTTGTCTCAGACTCCCTTAGTGTTTTAAACAGGCTATACAAAAATTTGATACACCTCACCCCTTAGTCCTCCGTATCCAAC